ACATAGTTGGGTCCAGTATAGATGATATCTGACAGTGATTAAAATCACTATCATAAAAAACGCTTCGATGCAAATCTGTAGATAACGTTTAAATTTAAAAAATTGATGGATTATTCTAAAAGCTGCATGATCTCCTATTTCCTTATTTTTATTCTGATTAGAAGTTTTATAGTTTATAAGTGTAATATATGAATAAATAAATGTATATATTAATAATATATAAATATATATAGTACTTAACTAAAAAAAAATATAATGATCCATACATTTTTCAAAAAGTTATAGCTTTGTAACGGAACACTTTCAAAAATTAAGTTGAAAAAGTTATTATTTTGAATTAAAAAATATATACCAAATGATAGGTAAATACCTCATATATCTATATATAAAGGTATCTATCAATAAATTAAATTAAAAATATTAATTAAACTAAAAAAAAAATTAAAATGATTTGGTCATTTTTTAAAAAGTTATTGGCAGTTTTAAGTAAAAATATTGAAAGAATGTCGAAAATTACCGATTTTTAAATTTGCATATTTCCCCCATTTACGGAGAACGAGAGAAATTTTTTCAATTGTTGAGGGTAATGACTTCGTCTAGACACGATCTGTGATCTTTTGACGTATTGTTGAAAGAAATCGGTTCGGTGAGAGCTGAGAAAAGTGGTAACAGACTAAAAAAAAAGACACATCATAGTAAAATTAATATATTCTCAGCTTCGCATCGAAGCTAAAAAAAGGTTTTCTTAAAGTATTGCATCTAATTTTATACATTATCCCATTAAGTCCGAAGTTTTTTTTTTTTTTTTAATGTTGGTTTTTTTCAAATAGTTATTATAAATAACCTATTTAATAAAAATCATTAACAAATTTTTTTTGTTCGTCGACTCAATTACTCACAATTTGATGTTACCATATGGTAACGCTAGGAATTTGAGGTAATATAATTTACAATGTTATAACGAAATATTTTTATTTTTAAATATAGTTCTTATGCACGTATATACTATAGTTCTTATACTAGTATGTTACGGAATGAAATATTTTGAAACATTGAATGCAGAGGCCCATGTTACACTTTCACACATCGTATATATACTTACCGAACGTCCTTCGCCGGGACATTTTCTTCTTTTTTTTCTGGGATTGGAATGATAACATGATTTTTCGCATCGTACCTAATGTCATAACTTAGTCTATTTCAAGAGATACTTGATATCGGTCTGGGTGGCCTTCCACCAACTTTAGGTTTCGTCCCATATTTCAAAAGCAAATTGCGGACTATTTCACTTCTAAATTGAGGTTGTGATACATTTGGCTTTACTTTTCTTTGTAAGATCCAAGCATTATTCATGCATAAATCTATTAACCAAGTGAAGATTAGCCAACACCACATTTTTCCACGTATACTGATTCTGTCGTTATTTTCTAACCTTATTTTAGCAGGTGCTAATAATTGTCGACCAGTCAAGTTATCTATTGCACCGGCTCCATCTTCGTCATCTGAATCTGCGTCAGTAAGAATATTTGCTTCAGGGGATTCAATGAATATTTCTTCAACCCGTGTCTTCTTCATCTACAAATAAAATATTCAGAGCTTCTTGGAGAGAAAATCCATTACTATAGAAATTAAAATAATTGTTGTCGTAAATGAAGAAAAATAAAATGTGTAATTTGATTAGTTCACATAAAAACCTAGCGTTACCATATGGTAACGCTATAAATACGATTATTTACGTATATAAATAAAATATATATGTATGTAAAAATTACACTGATATATGCTCTAACTACTAGGAAAATTTATTTACAGTTTTATAGCAAAAAAGTGTACCAAATAAATAATAAAATAACTTACCTTCCACGAAAATCCATGGTTATGAGTATGAAAAAGAAACCCAGCTATTTCAACGTATAACACATGACTGATTAATATTGTGGAATTCTGGTTAATGACATATCGTTTTGTTACATAAAGAGAATGTATAAACACTGATAAAACCGATATACACTAATACGTCGGGAACCATAGCTATTTTAAGACATTATTTGCTGCGTTACCATATGGTAACGTTCGGACTTAATGGGTTAAGAGTCCTTTAATTTTTATATATGTTTGTCATAGAAGTAACAAAATAAACTACTTTATCATTTTTTATTATTTCTCCAGAAAAATTACAATATTAAATTCATACTATATTTAATTATTATAATAAATATTTGTTCATATATTATACTTTTAAATCATAGAACAAATAACTATAAATAATGTAGAAAAAAGGAGTTCATTTTTCTTCTGAAATAATCCTTCAATTACTTTAAATTGAACAGGCTCTACAGATATGCATCGAAACGTTTCTTATGATAGTGATTTTAATCACTGTCAGATATCATCTATACTGTCCCAAGTATGTTACGTCCTCACTGTGCCGCGACCTTACGTTGCTACCGTTTTTTTATTTATATATTAGGGAATTCATGTATGAAATTTAATAAGATTATAAAATGTTCGCACGACTACCTTAGGATTTGATATGGATTAATTCATTAATATTTGGTATGTGCAAATTAGAATTATCCACCTTGGACAAAGTTATAGATTACAAAAATATCTTTATTATCACGATGATATTACAGAGTATTAATTGAGTAAATTACTTTTGGGTTATATATATTATCTATTTAACCAAAGATAAGATTTTAACTTAAATGTGATTTAACCAAGACTATGTACTATACTATGTACTCTATAACCGTGTTGTATATTTTTAATTTATATTATACTATGGATTATTAAAATCATATACCAGGTTCTGGGTATACGATTTTTATTATCAAATCTTGTTATCTCTCGCCCCATAACATGAAATAATACAAATTATATAAATGTACAAATACCTAGACTACATATTAATTTAAAAATAGGCATAAAACGTAAGTTACAGAATCATCAATTTATTACATAATTGGATAATTTTAACTGTTATATATTTCATTAAAAATTTTTTATATTATTAGAAGACTAAAAGGTAAGATAGAAGAATGATAGAGAAATTTAATTAATAGAAGGATAACTTGTGAAATATTTATATAGTATCAATAATCTACTTTAATTGTAGAAATACAATATATTATAATTACTACTTATAGAAGACAAATCTTTTTAAAATTCTTACAAAAAACATTTTTGAGTAAAATTTAAAAGAAATTTTTCTACAAAGATTTTAATTTTAGTCAATTTAGTCTCCTTAATTTATTCAAATATGTTTTATCATGAAATTTTGATGACATTAAAATTTTAATTCTATATATAATTTTTAATAATAAAAAAAAAATTATCAATTTTATAGAAAGAAAGAATATTAAAATTTTAAGCAAGAGAGTTAAATGGAGAAGGTCGAAAATAAAAAACAAGATTTTAATTCAGAAATCAATCAAAACCGTATAAATTATTTATATCAGTTGAGTACTGCAATATCTACTGAATGTCCAGGATTATCATCTGCATATAATTTTATATTAAAAGGAATGGCTCAAAAAAGTTTATTAAAAATAGATCCAACCATTAAAAGAAATATTTGCAAAGGATGTAATACTATGCTTATTCCCGGGAAATCAGCAAAATGTCGTTTGATTAAAAAACCTAAAAAGTTAGTACGATGGACTTGTATATTTTGTGGAAAGTCAAAAACTTATGGAAGAGATAAAAGTTATCATACTTGGTCAGAATCTTCAAATTTTTTACTTCAAACTATTAACTATAGTTAAAAAAAAACAATTGAAACTTACCACTAAGTGATGATTGATCATGATAAGCTATGTAACCAAGAATTCCTACACTTATGTAAACACATGTACACATATTCATAGAAGAACGAACTATACTATTCAATTTATCAAGTGATTCATGTGATATTGATTCAAATATGTCAAATAATTGTCTGTAAGAACATTTTAAAACATAAATATATTCAAGTTTGATTTATAAAATTAAAAATATTTGTGTAGTTAATGTAACTTACGTCTGGCAAAATAATGACATTGAAAATATTGGTAAACATTGTAAAAGACCTGAAGGTCTCCAAAAATATAATTCTGAAAGCCAAACTGATGAGAAAATTTTATCAAATGCTTCTATAAATATCTAAAAATAAATAATTCATCTATTGAAGATAGATTACTAAATTTGATATATTATTTATTTTTATTATAAATTTAAGGTGTTACTTTACCTTAAATACCAAGCAAGCATAAAATATTACTGCAGCCGTACATATTGAATTTAAGCTATTAACATTTTTTAATAATCCCAATGGTAAAACTATAAAAACAGCAATACCTTAAAAATATGTTATTAAATATTATAATTGCAATTCTAGTATCTATAAATTGAATCATTTTATGTTAAAAGCTCCTATATCATTTTTTTTTTTTTTTGCGAAAAAG